CACACACACACATATATATATATATATATATATATATATATATATACCGCATCTATGACACTGGTACCAAAATCTACGGAATGGATTTCACTTGAGTAGATTTTTTAAGGGCGTTTGTGCTGGGAAATGAGAAACGTCGTTATCAATATTGGTTTTCGAAAGGAACAAAACCTTCTTCCACTGGGAACATGACCCTTCAAACAAAAGCTATTTGGGACGTGAATAGTTCAATTTTTGCAGATTAGGATGCGTTAAAGATATAACTAAGAAGCTGAACAGCCTTGTCCCAGAATGGATCCGAAAATAGGAAAAATCATAAAGAACTAAGAAGCATTGCCGAAAAAAAGCAAACATTACTTGGTGAGTATCAATAATATCCATAAAATGACTGGCGAAAAGAAGAATGAGCTACGAATCACACAAAACACTGACCTGCACATACACGGCACCGTATAAGGTATGCGTGTACTGATGCACCACACCTAGTCTGCACAGAGCAGCAACCACGGTGATTAAATGATCGGAGACAGAACTGCACGTGACACCAGCCACTTCGCCCGAGTTGCGACGATCGACCGAATCTGTCCATGCAAAGCCCGTCGGGCTAAGACACAATAGATTTGCATAGTGTCGACCGAGACAGCAGCCCAAGGCACCGTACTGCAATATGCGATACTCGTCTAAAAGAGCCTCGTTCAGGGCGGATGATGGGCCCTGACGGGGACGGACGTGAATGGATTGGATCAGTTGTGTGTGCACCCCCAGCCAGGTGCTGAGGTCAATGTTGGACAAACGCCCTGAGACGTGCGCGTAGATCGCACTGCATTCGGGAGCGGAGAAGACATCCGAAAATGTGCCAACATAAATGGTAACAAACGATGTTGTAAGTCTTTTCACAATTTACAATTTCCAGTTTGTAACGGTTGTGGAAACGGTGGCACATAAGTCACCCGTAACTCACAATCACTACGAATTCCAAAACAACCATCGTAGAATCAGCCTAATCAATATACCGATTCTCTGAATAGTTGAACAGTTGTGAATGCGCTCCACAAAAACACTGTGGAAACAAGTGTCGTCTTTTATAAAGAGAACCAAGGATTTCACGGTTACATAAACGTTCCTAGTTAAATCATTTGAGTAGTCTGACACTAAAAGAAAAATATTATGATTGCCAATGAGCGGATTCGTTGGGCAGGAAAATGTCACAAAAATGGGATACGGTTACATGGTCATCTTAAGACTCACCTTTGGTGATAGAACTGCTGATCTAACCTTGTTCACCTAAAGGCCAAACCAAACCCGATCACATGAACCGAATCACAGTGAACTACAATGCTCCAATCTGACTAGCAGCAGTTTACCCCTCAATGTACACAGAACAAATGAAAGAGGAATTGAACGGTCGCGTCATGAGTGAAATCCACTGAAATGATTAGGGACTGAGCCTGGGAGCCGGTATATGTACATTTTGCAATAAAAAGATGGTCACAGTCATATATTTCAAACACCACCACTATTCTGTAGACAACATAGTTGTGATTGTTGTCCCATTGACGAAACCGGTTTGGTGCTTCCAGGGAAATTTTGTCAAGTAATTTACATAATACTCACAGAAATATATATATCGCAAAATCACAACCACAGGTCAGGAATCGTGTTTGAATCTCAGCGAAATTCAAGTTGAGCATAAAACAGCAGCAATGTTCGGAAATATGTGCTCCAGTAAAGTCCAGCAGTCTTGGGGATTAGGTCAAGGTTCGAGGGCAAATAAACATCAACCTCTATTCTGAGAAAAATGCACTCCATTGAGGATTATTTGGCACTGACTGCGAGGAAGAAGGGACAGATAAGCGCCACATTATCAGATCAATAGAACTGGGTAACGCAGTAGTAACGCATACCGTCTAAGCACAGGATCCGTTGGATATATACCAGTGACGGGAGAGACATTTCAGTTTGGTAGTTCCCGAGATTGTAGTAGATTGATATGAGGTTCGTGTTGGAAGATGAAGTAAATATCCGTAAATCTCACAATACGGATTTAAACTGCATACTATCCAGTGACACAACCAGACTGATGCGGTTATTTAGTCACGTGCTATGTGCATCCATCTCCAACCGGAGAATTAACTGGCTTCGGGGAGAAAGCGGTGTTTGAAAACCCTTGTCTACGGTGCATTGAAGGAGTCCGATTGGGAAACCGGAAAAGCAATGCAGAGGCTAGATGCAGGGTTTTAGGTAATCGTGGTCTCCCACTGGATCGAGTGCTCGATCTTCATGGATTACGTTAAGTTGGGCGTGTTACGAATGTCACTGAACGGACTGCTTCGGCATCCGATGTTATCCGAGGCAGGATGGAAGAAGTGTGAAGGTGTTCAAACTAAGACCTGAGTTGAGGGTATGAAACCCGCCACCAGGAGACTTGGAAACGTAGGTCACAACGAGCTCGCTGGATGGAAACCTCTGTATAAGCGCGATCGATGGTTGAAGACACTCAGTGATGTGGCTCTATCGCAACCAATGGTTATGGTGCACCTTCTCAATATCTTTGCAACCACAGTATAGCAGAATTCATTATTTTCAAGTTGATAGTGCCTTCAAGATTCCAACCTTACCTTTAATCCTTCGCAACGATAAAGAAGTAAAAAGGTAGCCCAAACTGCCGCAAAAGAGGACGTAATCAATGATTTTATATACTGAAAACCGGATCTTATAGGTAAACATCGACAAAATTTGATGAGCTGATAGTTTAGAAGTCGGATGACATGGAAACCTGCGGCCTAGTAACACAAAATCGTCTACATGTAACACATGAGGAAAATAAAGTTAATTTTATCCCTGGAGTGCAGCTGTGACGGAGAGGTAGTCGGAGCTAACTGAGCAGTTCCCGGATGTTTTTCAAGGAGTATAAAAGAGCGATGCGCTGAACACGAAGATAGAATAGCTGTGACAGAGGTCAAGCTTATAGTGACATTTTATACGAAGATGTACAGTTGAGAGAGAGCAATCATGCTACAATTTGATATAATGCTTAGAGAAAGCTTTGTGGCCAGTGGACATGTGGTGGTATCTTTAGTTGTGGGATTTGAAACCATATTCGCTTTGATCTATCGGATTCCCGTATAACACGTACAATTGAACAGCTCATTTTTTGTTACCAATCAGAAAATGCGTGACAGCTGATTCACTCACCGGACAATCGGAGGTGTGTAATGAGGCAATTCATTTTGTATCAGAGACAAGAACTCGACAACTTGAGTTGCGGACATCGTGGTCCAACTGATATGGTGACTCAGGTGAACGGTTAAATCCACAACAGCTACAAGTAGAAAAGGAAAACACAAAAAAAGCGCTGAATAAGCACGGTTCGACGGGTTATGCAGACGGATAAACCACGAAAAAATACATCTAAACACGCACGCGTAAACATATTATAGAACCAAGGACACACATTCTAGGTGATTTGCAAGCTTTTTCAGATAGTTTGAGTATGACTATGCTCTACATGCTTTTTGTACTTTTACGGGATATATAATAATGTATAACAATGTATTTTGTTTGTTACACCGTATATATTTTTTTTATATTTTTGATGTTTTACCGGGTTTCAACAGGCAGAACCTACAGCTCTCCTACCCCTGATTTCTAACCTGAGTCACATTCCTCGGTGTCTTCAACTCACGACAATACTAATCCTTTTGGGCCCAACACGGAAGGCGGGTTACACCAACCGAGAACACCTTCTCCCTACCCCTTAGTAAAGTCATAGTCTGACTGCCGCATCGCTTCTTCGAGTCTTACTCAGCGCGGGCAACGAGAGCACGACAAGATAGACGATTGCCTGATGCACACAATACATAACTGAGTCACGGTAGTTGGCGTGGAGTAATTTCTTCCCTTAGAGAACGACTAACAAACGACGACAAACCCCATCATTACTTACACGATTTTTTCACCAAACACGAGCAATGCTCTAAGCCACTAGCAGTCGAATAAACAAAGTTGATAAGCATCCTCAGTACGAGAAGGCCAGGCCTCGTTATCGGAAAACGAAACACTACAAACCCCTATTGGGTGAGTGGTTTAAAGACTAAGTTATAAAACAAACTGTTGTCAAAACCTTCTGAGGGATCGACTTTCTTCAAACGATATATGAATGATAAATGCGTATCTGGTGTTGACAACGATACTACCAGTTTGTGGAGAAATTTCGGTGGATTCCATACGAAAATGAAGTACACGCTGGGGAAAAATTCGTAGTTCGCTTCGCATTTCTAGACGTATTGATGTCACGAGGTCCAGATGGCTCACTTCATAGCGGGCTATTTATTCACTACTTTGTGTTCCCAGCATTCTTCCACAATTTTATATCTCATTTCAACTGTAGAATGTGTTATTTCTCAGCCAATCAATGTAGCAACGGAAAAACCTTGCTAACAAACCTGTGTTCTCATGATCAGTTCCAGTTCCAAATTTTACTACCATTAAACAAAAACTTTCGTGCGCCGGTTTAGTTTGCTGTATTTCGGCCGCTATCAATTATGATGTAGCGTTATTTATTTATTTATATTCACACACGTCTGAAACCAGAGTGTGCCAAACAAATCAGGGTACAATAATCTTCATAAAAAGAAAAGCGTCCCACGATTTGCAAATGGGCCGAATACTGCCAGATTGTCCAGGACAAGGCAGGTGGATTTTCTTGGGGAATCCACAACCGCTGCCTTTGGCTAACAAAGCATGACCCGCAAGGTAGCGGGGCGGTGTGCGAAAACCGCAATCTATTGGGACCTGGCTACGTGCATGAAAACAGCAAGCTCTAGTTTCTCCCGATTGAGGAGCTATTCGAACTGAACTGCAGACTTCCCTGAACACGCAGAGTAGCGTTTTGATTAGGATTAGTGTTCAAGGTTTACTTTCTTAAATCCTTGAGGCAAAAAGTCCTATCAGCGTACAGTCAGCATATGATCGGGGGTGGTTGTCTAGGGTTACAGCTGATCATCCTTCAATTGCACCTCGCGAAAATGCCCTCTCCATATGACCAGGCGTCTCAAATAGCCTCTGCTGAGGAAGCCATCCTCACTGCCTTCCTGCGGCGGTGTTTTCCCACCAAAGTGAGAGAACAAAAAGCCAATATCCGGGTTGATTATTCACTGGTAGTTCACCTAAGGGATTTGACCCAAAACCCTGATTCCAAACCAACCAAGAAGAGGCGCAAGAACCACATAAATATCTTCCTGGTCGTGGTAGTGGTCACCGGCTTTATTGGATATCAAAGTGTATTAGGCACCCTGGATGTTTGACCCCGTCTAAATAAGCGCATCGTTTCGATGAACTGGACATCCGCTCCCAATGGATTACGGTTTTCACACACCGCCCCGCTGCTTTGCGGGTCAGGCTGTGGCCAGCCGAAGGCTTCAGCTGTGGATTCCTCAAGAAAATTAACTTGCATTATCCTGGGCAACCTGGCAGTATCCGGCCCACATGTAAATCATGGAACGCGTGATATATACATAAATATATGTACCAAAGTCGAGCAATTGATACATCGTTGTTGCGCTGGCACCACACATATCGTCATTATATGGAAATTAAACGGAAACAGAGAGCACTGTGTACAGGAAAACGAAGACAACCGATCAGGTGCTGAACTACGACAGTAATCATCTCACGTGTTACGTAAGAAGCTGTGTGCACTTTGTTCCGCTGTGCGGACAAATTGTAGCAGAGAAGAACTCCGGCATCAAGAACGAATGCATTTGTTTCATCAGTTCCGTAAAAATGGATACCCCAAAGGTTTTGTCCAATTATACCTTAAGGGAAAAAGAAGACCAAAGATTGAAGAGAACAAAACTCTTACTAACGTACCTACGTCAAGTATCAGTGGCCGTCGATCGCATCCACCGTCCTCTGGATGTTACCATTGCCCACAACCTATAACCACAATGTGGTCAATTATGTTCAACGACAAGGACCACGTACAACCACTCGGCCAATCAGGGATGGTGTATGCAATTCAGTGACTAGACTGTGACTAAAGTTACGTAGAACAGAGGCAATCAGCTGTGCACTCGCCTACATAAATACACACTTGCACCACAACGCGCTGACCCGAAGTCACCTCTGCAATCCCCACGCAACGACTGGTCCGGCGGTCAAAATCAACAACGCAAAAGTAGTGGCAAGAGCAAAGAGAAAGAGGGAACGTCTGATTCTTGAATAC